CAGAGATGGCAACCAGGGCTCTTTTTGTAGAAAAAGCCCAGCAGGAACTCATTAGCATAATAGGCCACACCCAACAGCAGGAACTCATTAGCATATTGGGCCACACCCCTGACAGCACAGCTCATTAGCACATTAGGCCGCACCCCCATGTTACCAGAAGTGTGGTCATCCAGCCACACCCACCTTTTGCTTCTTATTCTGTTGACCTTGTTTGTTGTCAAAACCCAGGGCCTTTTTTTTGTAGCAGGGACTCTTTGCATGTTAGGCCACACACCCCTAATGTAGCCAATCCTAATGAGTTTCTGCTGTTGAGTGTGGCCTATTATGCTAATGAGTTCCTGCTGGGCGTGGCCAACTTGGGAGCCAGCCGGAACTACATTCCTGTGCGTTCCTGCCCCCAAACCCTGGGTCTAGCTACGACACGGCTTGGCCTTCAGTCCAGCCTCTCTCCAGCACTGTGATGTTGTCCCTTTAGAGCAGCCAACTCTGCCTTGGGAAATTCCTGGAGACGGGGGTGCAGAGTCTGGGGAGAAGCAGGAGCTCAGCACCCCCCAAAGCTGCCATTTCCACTGGAGGAACCAACTCAGGAGCCAGCCGGAACTCCATTCCTGTGCGTTCCTGCCCAAAAATAGCCCTGGGTAACCCTATGTCTCTTCCATGGCTCATCAAACCAGAAGCAAACCCCCATGAAAGCATATGGCGTGACATTGTACTGTAGTTGCTTAGACGACGGGTTTTCTTTCATTTCTTTTTTTGCCTTGCAGCAAACGAGCCCAAGAGGTTAGCAACCACCGATCGCCATCACATCACCTTTCAAGTACGCCGCACAGAAATGATTGCATGCCAGATCAGTGCTTCCTCTCCTTTATAGAATGCCTTCGGCTCATTGCAATGACAGAGCAGTCCGTATAACGAAACCGCCGCTAGGAAACTTAGAGAACAGAAGTACAGAGCTGGTTGAAAAAATGGTGGATGGCCAAGACAGAGTATCCTTGCGATGTCATGTTGGTGTAGAGTTTAGGAGCGCAGACTCTAATCTGGGAGAACCGGGTTTGATTCCTCACTCCGTCACATGCAGCTGCTGGTGTGACTGTGGGTCAGTTACAAGTGCTTTCAGAGCTGTTCTCTCACAAGCAGTCCTTGAAAGAGCTCTTGAAAGAACCACTACACCAAACTGGAGCCTGAGGAGGGCGGTTGGTGTTCAGTGGAATATAACGCCATAAACTCTACCTTCTGAAGTGGCCATTTTCTCCAGGGGGACTGATCTCTATCACCTGGAGATCAGTTGTAATCCCAGGAGATCTCCAGCTGCCACCTGGAGGTTGGCACGTCTAGCTACAGCCCCTTTTCCTTACAAGACCCACGTGAACCTGCCTTCTACTGAGTTGGGCAATTGGTCTACCAAGGCCAGTATTGTCTACTCAGACTGGCAGTGGCTTTCCAGGTTCTCTGGCAGAGGGCTTTCATATCAGCAACTACCTGATCCTTTTACCTGGAGATGCCAAGGGATTGATTCTGGGACCTAACGAGCCAGAACCCCTCTCCAGAGGTGCAGGAAGAAAATCAGATCCAAAGAGGCCAAACCCAGTTTGTGGTCTAATTCTGGGATGGTTACAACCAGGGGTCATTTCCTGCAGGAGCGCACAGGAGCGGAGCTCCGGCAGTAAAGAGCCCAGGGGGCAGGCACATGCAACAAGCCCCGCCCCCTGCTCCCAGCAGCCCTCAGTCAGAGCAAGAAGCAGCCAGGTAAGTTGCAGAGCCCCCTCATAGCTAGCAATCCAAAACAGTCCAGTAGCAGCTTTAAGATCAAGTTTTATTCAGGTACAAGCTCTCCCTCCTCTGTGAGGGCAGATCTGTGTGGGGAAACCCCCCCCCCATAGCTAGCAATCCAAAACAGTCCAATGGAGCCTGAGCGGTGGGTGTTGCCTTCTGACACACGTCTGTTGATGTCAGGGGGTGTGGTATATGCAAATAGTTATGCTAATGAGTTATGCTAATGAGCTCCTGCAGCTCTTTTTCTACGAAATGACCCTTGGCTACAACAGCCCTGGCAAAGATTACGGGGGCCTCTATTGACTTTGAATTAACGAGGGCACCTTGTTCCTAGCTCTGACAAGAGACCCCCTGAAGCAGAAGAGACGAAACTTGCCTTAGGCAAGGGATGGTCCATCAAAGGGTCATCCCCGTGCAAGAGAGAGAGAGAGATAGAAGGGATCGGGAGATCAAGACAGGGGAAGTGATAGAAGGAATTTGATGCGACTCACCCAGCTGTGCCGAAGCCAAGCCTAGCAGAACGTGGAAGATGGGGAACTGTGGGCGGCTCATGGTGCAGGCTCCCAAGTTGAGGATCGAGCTCATACCAAGATCTTCTTGCTGGGATGAGCGGATTCCGGATTCCCGAAGGGCAGGAAGCCCAAGACTGGAGGGACAGCTGTGGTCTCCGCTTGAAGAGCAAGGGAGGTATAATAGAAATAGCGGAGGCAGGAAACCTCAGAAAAGGGGAAGGGAGATGTCACGGGGCGGGAGTGATACTGTGGGCAGTCTCCTACTTCCCCAATGGAAGGCAGGTCACACCACAGGACAGAGAAAGGACTGAGGATGCTAGCTTCCATTGGTGGTGACCATCCATGTACCCCTGAGACTCTATTTCCCACACACACACACACACTACATCAAATGTTCAGCCACCTCGTCTTCATGTCGATGGGCGCAGGGTTACCGGCATTCTAGATGGGGCCTGGAGATCTCACAGAATTACCACCGATCTCATACGACAAAGATCAGTTCCCCCGGGGGGTGGGGGGGAATGACTGCTTTGGAGAGTGAATTCCATGGCTTCACATCCAGCTGAGGTCGCTCCCATGCCCAAACCACACACCCCCAGGCCCCACTCTCCCAAATTCCCAGGATCTTCCCAAACTGTTTCCATTCTGCACTAAAATCGAGTCCAACCTTCTTTTTATTCTGTCCCCCCCCCATTCTGCATTACATTCCCTCCCTTCAGTGGTCAGCCCGGTTTCAGCCTGCTGTTGCCCTGGGTTATTTGGATGCTGTTTTGCCATGGACTTAAATTCCCTTGACTTGAACACTGACAAAATCCAGAGTGGCAGGCAAATGCGGGAAGGGCCAAAGTTCACTCTTCTCTTCCAACACCATGGCCACCAGTTCAGCCTTATTTCTCAAGAGAACAGGCTGATCACAGACACAACGGGACCTCACTCACATTCTATACAAGCAATCCCCAAACTTTTTGCACCTGCGGGCACTGTTGGAATTCTGACTCAGGGCGGTGGGCACAATCACAAGATGGCTGCCTCACAGGGCTGCCAGATCCCCTGGGGGGGACGGGGGTTTGCCTGCTTTCGAGCCCCCAGATCTGCTGGCCTAGATTTGGCCAGCAGGGGGAACCCCGCCCCCAAAGTGCCTGGTGTGCAGCAATGCACCCTTAAGTGGTAGAGCGTCCCCTGCAACATGCCATGTGTGATGACGTCACTTTGGGTGACGCCATCATGGCACACGCTCTTCGTGCATGCACCAAAGAGATCCTGGAGAAGGACCGGGACCCACCCGCCCCCGCCGGCATGATGGTAAGACCTGGCAACCCTCCTGCTGCAGGAGGCAGAGCCCAACACAGAAAGTCAGGAAGCAAGGTTATATATCACTCTGACAGTTGCCTCTTCAGCGTTTCAGGCAGGAGTCTCTGTTTAACAGGATGCCTCTTAATCTGCACAGCCAATCAGAAGCCCGGCAGGGCAAAGGCTCCACCCACGGGCAATACGTTGGGCCCCCCTGCTCTACACAACCAATAAGGGACGCAAAGAACTCCGATGCCTGTCGTATCTTTTCATACCTTCATAAGGCTGAAGAGGCTATCACCATAAAAGAGTCAAAAGGTCGCCATACTGGCTGCTACCTGTGACCACGTTCTGTCTCCCCAACAGGAGGCTGACATGTCTAACCGTTCCAAAGAGATGACCTTGGCATGCATTTTCTAAGATGGGACCCAACGACTGGACGCGGGTACGTGACCTCAAGTTGCAACTGACTTTTTCAAGGCAGGTGAGAAGCAGGAGTGGTCCGCCAGCACTTTCTTTTGCAGAGTCTTCCTGGTGGACTCCCATCCAAGTACTGACACGGCTTAGCTTCTAAGATGCGACAAGATCAGGCTATGTCATACTGTGCTTCCTCTTCTCAAGAACTCAAAAGTATCCTTGGAAACTGTCTTTTTGGGGGTGCTGTCGTTAAACTGTTATCTGCTCGCTGCCCAAATGTTTAAATCCCGGTTTGTTTGCTTGTTGGCAGGGGTCATTTAGTAGAAAAGGAGGTGCGGGAGCTCATTAGCATAATTCATTCGCATAACTCATTTGCATATGCCACAACCCCTGACATCACCGGAAATGTGTCAGAAGGCAACACCCAGTAGTGCTGCCAAGCTGCGGCGGGGGATCCGCACGTCTTCACAGGATCCCTGCCGCGGGGGACAGCGATATGCGTTGCACCACCGTCGCCAGTATGTGACGTGTAGCGTCACATCCTGGCGATGGCGGTGCAACGCATATCGCTGTCCCCTGCGGCAGGGCTCCTGGC